TTAACACCCTGATTACAAAAATGTATCACACATGGGGTCTAAACACAACAGAAAGGATATGCACAGCCTCCTACGCTCCCTATTAATAATATCCTTTCTGTTGTGTTTAGACCCCATGAGTGATACATTTTTGTAATCAGACTGTTAAACCCTTTTAAATGGTATATCACATGACCTATGTTCCTATTTCAAAAAATCAAGATGGCGGCCATGCTTAAAATTTTGTAATTATAAGAAAAATAATTTTTGGGCAAAAATAGGCGCAAATATATTTAGTTGAAATTCTGAAATTTTGGGTTTTGTATGTTAAACCGCTTAAGCACTATAGGTTTGGTTCCATCTTTAACAGCTACCCTGTATATTATTATTATTATTATTATTATTATTACATTATTGTTTACAGGCATAAAAATAACAACAGTAAAGAAAATATGCCCTTATCTGCAGTTCCCAACATTGAAAATTTCGAAGTTAAAAAGAAAGAAGGCTAATGAAAAGGTATGATTAGCTCTTATATTTTTAAAAGCCAAACAGGTGCTGGTAATAATAGCCTTTGGAACTTTTGAAATTTAATTAAATGCATATCATTAAAAATCCTCAGAATACATTTTATGTACATTTCATTTGTAGGGACGAAAATATGCAAGACAGGAAACTTCAATCTTTAACTCTCTTTAAAAGACAAAAAATTGTTTAAAATTTGATAAACTCATCACCTAAAACCACAATATCTGTAAGCTCCCTTCTAAAAGGGAAAGAGAACTTAAAAAAGAAAAACGAAGGTTTGTTGAAGTCAAATAAGTTATTGTATCATATAATCAAGCATTATTATGATTTCAGAAAAGCAATGCTTAAGAAAAATAATTAAACAGTTATTTTTTTTATAGAAAATTAGCTCTTGTCCAAAAGAAGATTCTATGCAAAAAAAATATAATTGAAAAACTTAGGGGAAATATTTTTTACAAAGTAGATTGGAATCTTTAAATAGTATGATAGGATATATAAAAAATTACTCTTTTATAAAAAGTACAGATATACTTGTGAATGTCAGAATTAATTCCAGTAATATTCATAAATGTTTTTAATGACGAGGAAACATTTTATTTATATTTTGGGTCAAATTAGTTTATTTTTTAGGCTTCTCTTGCAAATGGATCTAAGGAATTGGTCAAGAGAGCAATTAAAGATTATTCCAGAACAAAATACTCCCCTGAATTAAGAGCGTTAGCACTAACTTTAAGCTTCTACAGTATGAAGGCTTATACATAGGTTAAGGAAAAATTTAACAATTGTCTCCCACATCCCAGTACCTACTTTATTAAAGTGACATTAGGCTGTTGATGGTTCTCCTGGATTCACTGAAGAGCATTGAAATTTAAAGGCGAGAAAGTCAAAAAGGTTATAAAAAAAAGGTTTTTTTAAATCTTTTGATGGATGAAATGGCAATTATGCAAAGGGTGGAATGGACTGGCCAAAAATATATTGGATATGTTGATATTGGCAGCAAGTTTCAACAAAATCAGACAGTTGAAGCAAAATAAGCTATTGTGTTCTGCTTGTAAAGTTAATAAATATGTCTATTACGAATATAGTTAGGTACCTACTATATTTTATATTATCTCTTGTTTTGATTACATTGATTAATAATTTTATTATAAAACATGTGCATTTAATATTATTACTACTAGAAATAAAGTATTGTTATTTGTTTTCGTTTTTCTTTTATTTATTCTATATAAAAAATATTTCAGTTTCTAAATGATCTACTTGAACTAAACGAAAATAATGTGTGATCACGAATTCATTTGAAAGCATACAGTTTCAAAACCTATATCTACAATAAAGAAAGTTTTTAATCCTACACGAACATATAGTCATTTCCAATAAAACATGTATATAATACAATGTATAACGAAAGATTAACATAAATAGAAAAAGAACATTGTTTAATAAATTTGTTTATTAATCATGCGAATTAATTATCTAAATTATTAGTTATTGTGAAATTACAGTGCATAAATGGTAAACATAAATACGAACCCTTTCAAACCGTACGCCATTGAGAATGGCGTACCTACCCTTCTCCCCTCACACCAGAAGTGATGACCCCGCTTATTCGCTCCGTGCGCGACAGCAGCGCCAATTTGTTTTGGTATTAAAGGAGTATTTCTGCCTATACTGACAAATACAATTTTTAATAGAATTCGTAAATAAAAAGTATATATGTTAGTTTTAATAAAAGTATATGGATTTATAAAACAATTAAAACATTAATTTATTATTATTATATATTTTTCACGCTTAAATTGAAGAACACTATGTATAATCATTAAAAATCAATAATAAAATATAGGCAGGCAACAGTATTTACTGGAAAATGTATGAGAAGTTGCCTAAGTCTAATAAGTTGTCATTGAAGAAACCATTTATAATAGCGTGAAGTTAAAATGTATAAAAAGGATCGCTACTTATATTTTCATTTTTGTTCTAAAGAAAACATAGAATGAATGATTAAAACTGGTTTCCGTCAGTAAGTCACAAAATTGCATACCAGCCAAATATTATAATCAACGGCAGAAATCTTGAAATCTAGTCCTTGCTGAATGAACATTTAAGAATAAAGGGATATTAAAGAACTTCGTAAAATGATAATTTATTGTTTATTTAAAAACTTTCTAGTTTCTGATATCTACTATTTCCAGCATTACTGTTATTATCACAAAAATAAAGGTAATTTTTCTTCTTATCTATCCATTTATTTCTTTGATTTAATTTCCACTTTGTTAGTGAAATTTGTTATATAAGTTTCACTGTTTTTTTTTGCTAGTATTTGTACAATTTTCAACACAGCAACTCTGGTTGCTTATTGTGTTGTTTTTACCTACTTTTTTGATAAAAAGTAAAATGTATACGTGTATTTGATATGCCAAAATTACAAAATATCCCCCTAAAATGCACGAATTATCCGCAGCTAGCACTAGTATCGCTTTTGCTTCCCTTTCCATGACTTCGCCCGGAGCGAATACATAACAAAATACATTGAATGATATCTCTAGTCTTATCTGCTCTAAGGTTATCACATGCTGAACTCAGAATTATCGCATTGGCATTGGTAAGGTCTTAAGTTAAAAGTTGGCAAACTTTCTAGGGTACGTTAAGTTCTTAAGTTACGTTACGAACATTTGTAAATTCAATATTTTAACTTCTTACGTTAAATTCGTAAGTAAAGTTACGGTGGTTCTAAATTAAGATTTATAGAATCATTGATAATATATGGTATTTTGGTTTGGGGTGGTTTATATGATAATGCCTGATACAAATTAAATATTATACAAAAGTAAATATTAAAAATCATCTATGGCAAAAATAGAATGTATCCAACAGAATTGATGTTTTCATTTGATACTTGCAATATCAGAACTATCTACATATCAACAATATGCCCTTACATATATACACGAAATTCCCTACAAAATATTGTAAATCGCCAACATAACACAAGATATAAAGTAAATAAAAAAACTTAGTATTAGGCATTCCAAGCAAAATGGCTACCAGTGGGTTTTGGCAATCCTGTAGGCCTGGTGATTTGACAAGGTCAGTTAAATAGATAGTTACATATTTTGATCATCCATATTTTTCAAAATAAACATAAGCTTATGCCTTGAAGTAAAAATGTAGGTAATTATTTTTTTTTACTATATTCAAAGAATAAATATTGGTTTGTAAACACATTTTTGCAAAATCGATTTTGATTAATGAGCACTTGCGAGGCAATATAGCCGCTGGTAAACGACCCACTTTGAGCTATCTATATAACTATATATGTATTATTGACCCTGTCAATGGCACCAGACTCACAGGGTTGCCATATCTAAATGTCAGTTCCCACTTGTCAGCAGTTTGACAGGTCGTTGGAATGCCTAATTAGGAATTCCAAACTGAATGGCTACCAGTGGGTTTTGATCCTGTAGGCCTGGTGATTTGACAAGGACTATGAAATAGATAGTTACATAGATTGATCATCCATATTTTTCAAAATAGACATAAGCTTATGCCTTGAAGTAAAAATGTAAGCAATTATTATTTTTAAAATATCTAAAGGATGAAAATTGGTTTTAAAACACATTTTTGCTAAACCGATTCAAATTAATAAATATTTGCCAGGCAACATGGCCACTCGCAAACGACCAGCTTTAAGCAATCTATATAACTATGTATATATCATTGATCCTGTTAATAACAACATGACAACAGGGTTGCCATATCTAAACTGGTAGCCATTTGGACAGGTCGTTGGAATGCCTAATTCCAGTGAGTCACAGAAGCAGTAACCTAATTTTTTTTTTAATTTAGCACCAAAAATCTACAACATGCTATCATGCAATATAAGAAAAATAAATAAAAAAATATTCTCAAAATAATGTAATAAATATATCTTTAACAACTATAAATTGTTTAATGCACTATTTAAATAAGGGAAAGAGTTTATTATTTATTATTGTAATAATCAACCATTGTAACAGTTTTGTTTTCTAATAGTTTTGTATATTTTAAAATTAGGTAATGAAACACTTACTGATGCACTAGTATATAAGTGCCTCCAAAAAAATAATGTTTAACCTACTCTGTAAAATAAATATTTCCAAGCCAATCTTGTTTCTATCAAGTAAAGTTATAAGTTTTATAGCAGAATCCAACATAGACACGACAGGGTCTGTCTACACTATGTAACTATAGTTTATCAAAAAAGGCGCAAAAAAGTGATATTGTTTTTGATTATAACAAGTTAAATCTATTTTAATTTATTTGGGACGCTTTCCACTATATCAAATGTATGATGTACAAAGTAGTTATTAATCGTAGGAAACCCTTTGACGATGGTGAACGCGCTTATTAATCTACGAAATTAAGCCCTTACAAAAAATAATCTAGACCATCACCAATAAAGGTTAAAAAATAAAATATGAATATCAAGCTTAATAAAACCGGTAACGTACGTGTGCGTCAATATTTGGAGATGGTGTGACAGCTCTGGATCTGACAGCATTTATTACACTATCCTCTATAACTGTAGCATGGTTCTTGAATCCATGTTCCACTTGCTCTGCCACTACGTCCCGAATAATGTTGGTCCACTTATCATTCATGCTAAAACATTAAATTTTATAGTTTAATTAGTTAAACATGTTATAAAAATTTTATAAATCACCTTTTGAATACGTTGTTAAATTGTTTGTGAATTTCCGAAGTAAGAGTACCGGTCAGTTTATCAGCATTACCTCTCATACTTTCTGAAACGGTCTGCATTTGTAAAATAAGATCCTTTTCTTTCTCTTGTACCCTTCTTTGCTTGTCCATGTAACTCTCTACAGATGCCGTATCTAAAAATCGAAAATTCTGTAATTCAATCATTTTTTCTATAAAAACATACTGAACAGAATTCCTTAACTGAAATAAATGCATTAGGCCATTCGGACCAGCAGGAGGATGATAAAATGCGAAGAGGAAAAAATAAGTGTATTTCTCAACAATAGCGTGTAACAATCTGTATTAAAAGCGTAAAATGATACTTTGCCGCTTCAGACAAAAAGTTGTCTGCGCGACGCGTAGCAAAGCCCGGCAATTTGTCGAAAGATACAACGAACTTTCGGCTCAAAATATACACAATATTTTTTCTACGATCACATTATTTTAAGAAATAGATATAAAAACTGAAAATTTATCGTAAGTAATGTGTAATGTGTTGCCTATATCTAGGTTAATCATGAAAAAAGGGATTGATATTCAAAATCTATGTTAACTTGGATAATAAAACAAAACATGTAACTACGTACAAATAACTTGAAAATTATTTAATAAAAAGAAATATTATATTATACCTAATTTAAATTAGGCGAGCAACAAAGCTGTCAATTTTTTCACTCGGTGAGCGACAAAGCTGTCACTTAATGTCAGTTCGCAGCAAACGTCAACTTTGCGGTTGGATTTCGAAGCGCAAAAGCCCACGATTCGTAAACAACACGGTGGCCTCATCACGGTTGTAAGAGCGCAGTGACGTCACGGAATGAAAAAGTGAAAATATTCTACTCTGTGTCGTACATTAGTTTTTTTAAAATATCTAATATTTTATTCTTATTTAGTGGAGTTTATATTTTTATTTTTGAACTTTGTTCTAGTGTTAGTTTTTATAATATCGATAGTTTGATTTTTTGAAAGATGAGCTAAAAAACAGCAAGGAAACATCAAATTTCAAATTAATTACTTTTTATTTGAAGTATAAAGAGAAATATTATTGTGTGAATGGTTTATTATAAACATTTTGAGCTAGGTAAGGATTCCGAGCTGAATTCGAATCACACTGTGCTTATATCCCGAAATATTTTGAAATTTTGGCAAGCCTGGAGTGAGTTGTAGTGTTGCTAAACAATTTTTAATTTTTACACACGATCAAGAAGCGACAGCTTGGCGATTTCAGTGTACCATTTTGTTACGCGCATGTGCGAAAATAAGTTGTGTATCACTCAAAATCATGTTATCTGTCAAAGTCAGTCCAAGTTGTGTTTAGTACATGAGCAATGTTAAGTGATATTTTTTGGTGTTTGTTTGTGTTGTAATAAGATGAAGATTTTTTTACACACTTAGGTATTCTATACAGATACAAAATGTGCCAAAAAAGTTATTAGGAAACACATGTATAAATATTAAGTAAAATGATTTTATCACTTTTGACATTTTATTTTTCAAGTTAAGTATATGTTTGTCTACTTTTAAATAAATTTAATAAACAATGGAACTGCAGATTTTGTCTATTTTATTTTGATTATAAATAAAAAATATATATAATAAATCCGCGTGTTTTCTTGAGAAAGGTCTTTCAGTAGGTAGTTAGTTAGGATTGACCAAAGTGGACGGAACCCCTTTATTATGGCTAAATTGCAAGTTACAATTAATCCAATTTAAAGATGTTTTGCCCATTCATATTTACATTTAATTAATAGGCCGTATTTATAAAAATGAAGTGTTTTCTTCAAAGGTAAAGGAAGAAGTGAAAGGTAGAGCTCACAAGGAAAAGGTAAAAGGTTCTACTTTACTTTGTACTTATAAGCATTTCCTTTTCTTTGCAAGCAAATCCTCGCAAAAAAAGGAAAAGATATACCGACGCGAGTTAAGGTGCGATTTCGGTGGTGCTGCTCGAGCTGCGCGACTAGAGATGCTGGCCGCGGCAGCTGTAGCCGCGATGAAAAGATGTTTTCGGTGACGCAGTTCTAGGCAGCCGTTGACAGCGAACTGGATCATTTTTGTCATTTTAAATTTTTGCGGGGTTTATTAAGAAATATGGATTACGACGATTTGATAACATTAATTTTATTAGAAGAAGATGAAGAAGAATTATACCAAATGTTATCTAGAAAATTCTTTAGCGACCTTTTTCCAACAATTTTCTTTAATAACAAAATTTTTGTAATTTTTGTCTTCATAATCATAAATTACGGGATATTTTTGTATTTCGTTGATTAAAATTTCATCGTCATTTGACGTAAATGGCGCCATTTTTTGCCCTAGTCACTACGATTTCAGCCGCTCGACTGCTTCGCTTTAGTCGCGTTGCGCAAGCCAAATTGGTTCTATTTGAAACTGTACATACCAGTGCAGCGGCTGGAGACGCAGCTGCTGGACGCCGCAGCCAGCCGCGTCACCGAAATTGCACCTTAAGGCAAGTAAGCTGCTGCCGATCAAGTTAAAACTTGCAGTTGCAGGGGAGGGGTCGTAGTGCGTTATTAATGTTATTATAGTAGTATACCGGGGCACGTGAGAGTGTGTTAGTAAATATAAATATAGTTTTATTCGGAGTTTTTTTTTTACATTTGATTAAGCTTTGTTCGATATTTGTAACTGAAGATGACAAGTGACGAGAAAGTGTCTGGCGACTAATTAGTCACAAAACAGCCGCGATGAGCAATCTGAATGTATGTTTATTGTTGAAAGGGTAAAAAAATTCCCAGAAATATTGGAAAAATCTCAGCTCCCTGCGAAAAAAGCGAAGAAGCAACCGGCTATGGAGAAAGTTGTCACAGAGTACAGACAGCTGTATGGAAGAGACATGACCTTGAAAACATTAATGAAAATGGTGGGTAATATGAAGACAAGACTGAAGAAGAAAACCGACAAGAAAAAAACGGGTAACAAGTGAATTCCACCATTACTACCATGGGTTGCGTTTTCTACGACAGAGAAGGGCGTCCTCAGATAGGGCATTATACCATAGCCACTGACCCCCAATAATACAGTATTTGTCGTCCACCGCATGATTTCATGAGCAGAAGAATTTTTCCAAATTCGAATGTTATGTACGGAGCCTGGCCAACGTACTTTGATATTAATAAAAACGTAATTATGGTTACATATGCCCTGAACATTAATACTAGCATAATTTTTTCGATTTATATATTCATCCTCAAATAGTCGAGACTTTTCAATTTCAACATGCGTGCAGTCGATAGCTCCTATTGCAGTTGGGAAATTTTTGTTCACTGCTCATTTCACTTTGGCTTTCATAATTTTGTTTTCGGTCGATGGGAACTTGATCCACTCAACCGCTTTGTCCACAATGAGACCGAGAGTGGTACCGACGATTCTGGAGATTGTAGGCTGTAGACATCCCATTTACTCACCGATACCGCTCTGGAAGACCGGATATGCCGTGTACCGTAAAAATATTTTCATTTTTTATACTGGCGAAAGCGCACCTCCTCTGGTTTCCAGATTCTCGCCGATATAGTATATTACATTACGAGTGTGGAAAATCACTTTTCACACAAGTGATGTACAATATTTTTCCTACGACCACAAAACAATGTCATCAAAAAAATGTAAAACCAAAGTTATTTTTACTATAATAATTCAAATGTATTTAAAAAAATAATCAACGATAATCGTATTTATTCAGTTTTCATATTTTCTAAACAAAAAAAAAACTAAAAAAAATAAAAAAAAAAATAAAAAAAAAAAAATTCTGCCCCGCCAGGATTTGAACGCGGTCGAAAAATGGCAAAGTTGATAAGTTCGACGTCCTAACCACCTGCGCTAATAGCCCTTGTGTCAATTGAATGATCTAATCGGTTATGTATTTAACCAGAATAAAGAGCAAACATTATTTTAAAATTATTTTAATAATAATTGTTAAAGATAAATATCTAGGATCTAATTTACAACAATTTCAATAATTTAACAATCATCGATTTTAGTATTAATATGGACATTACATAGGTCAAAATAGAAATTAGGTGTTTGACATTTTGTGACAACTACTGCGGAAAGTAACATATTCTCACTCGGGTAGAAAGTAAATTCTTATTCATATGCGTGTGATATAGGGCACTTTCCATAGGACTATATAATGTGATATGTGTCACTTTCCTAAGTGGTCGTAGGAAAAAGTACTCTGCTAACCATTGCACATTATTTTCGTCAAACCGAAAAAGGGTCGAAAGTCGCACTCACGTGTACTACGACTTTCTTTGTAAAGTTTTCGTGCGCGTACGTGCAGCACATCCGCCATGAAAAATTTGAATTTAATAAATAAGTCACTTCACAACTAAACAGCTTTACCCTACAAGTATATACAAACGACTGAAGTAAATAATAATTTATTACAGAAGCTTCTCTCCACTAGATGAATATTTTCTGAAGCAAATCCTTTAATTTTAAAGCAAATGTTACTGTTTGTAAGTACCAAAAAAGTAATACTTTTTCATTTGGAGCAAAACCTTTTTGCTTCAAGTCCAAACCTTTTCTTTCTTAATTTTATGAATAGAATGTGAAGGAAATGCTTCGATGCTGCGTAATATTGCTCCCTCCTCTCTAGTTATTCGCCCCGAATAACTTGATTACTGGGACCTAGTTAGAACTAATGGGGAGGATCTGGACCTCGGCATGGAGCTATCATTTCAATGTGAACCTTGGATTTACTTCCCGCTGACAGCTGAATGCGGCAGATCAGGTCGTTAATTTTCCTTAACGGCGGAGTAGGGGCCTTCCCAGTTCCATTGCGATTTCTGACAAAGTCCTACTCGGTGCTTGGAATTGCACAGCCATACTGGGTCTCCTTTCTCAAAATGTGTATTTTTGGCACGCCTGTCGATTCTAGCTTCTGCTTTATCGGTGATATCTTTCGGTCGTTCCCGAACGGATCCATAGACCTTTGTCCTGCCATTGCATACATTACATTTTATACATCAATCCGCTACATCCCGTCAGCAACTGACCCAATAAAATCTTTCCCGAACTCGTACCAGTGTCATTTTAGTTTCAAAAGGCCCTCCTGAACAGCTGCTATGAAACTCCTCCAATACATTTCTGACCTGTGATTTCGGCAGTATCACTTGGCGGACTACATGTACTCCATCGGAGCTCTCCCTCTTCCGGTGCAATAGGCCATCGTGAAAATACAGGGAATTCCACTGAGTCAGGAGCCTTTTATAGTTCTACTGTATTTGGCTATATCTTGCCAAGTAGGTGACTTTAATTTTGAGCCATTCTCGGACAACCTTTAAGTCATTGTCTTTCTTCTGTTCCTTTCTCAGACTTTCAGAGTAACTTTATCAACCGGCTCCTCTCGTTCTTCGAGCCTTTTACCATACCAGCATTGTCCTTCTAAACGGGGTCGCCTGAAGAGAATGTCTGCGTTGCTATGGAAACCTCTTCAATGCTCTACTTTCTGGTTATTGCTAGAATGCCGGATATGTGTGAGTGATTGGCTTCTTCGGGACGCATAGCTGCTGTAATTATTTCTTGTTGGACGGGCTTCGGAAGATTGATCTATATGATTTTCCGGTCTCATTCCCTGATTCTCGATTTATAGAATGAGCCATGCTTCTACAGGTTCTTTGAAGATGCCCGATTCTTCCGCAATTGAAGCATCTCCTGCTTCCATTTTGGCTGTTTCGTTGCATATTTCGTAGGATATTTAAGATCTGTGAGAGGGTAGGTTGGGAAATAGCATTAGTATTGGCCTCCTCACTTTCCTGGGATTTAATTTCTCTCACTTTTGCGCAAGAAGATCTGGATAGGAGTTTTACCGCTTCATATTCCTAGGCTGCAATCAGATTCTTCCTCAGCGTCTTGTGATGTTGTAGACGAAGGACTTGCTGCACTTCCGCATCTTGTAGTCCATCAATGAATGCCTGTATTCCGATTTGTTCTTGGAAATCTTTGGACGCCTGTGGATAGGCCAGACGAATCAATCTTCTTATGTCGGCCCCGAATTCCTGTAGACTCTCATTATGTTTCTGACTACGAATCTTTAGCTGGCTTTGAAATGCCCGTTTCAAATGATGCTGGCCATATATTGTCTCCAAAGCTTGGACGAGAGATGAATAACTGGGTTGTTCTTGGGGAAGTAACTGTAAAACGATTGCCGCCTGACCTCACAGCGATACTATCAATGAAGCCACCATTTCTTTCTCGGTCCAGCCAATGGCTCTAGCTGCAGCTTCAAATTGGAGTCGGTATGTTTCCCATGTTGTCTGACCGTCAAACGTGGGTGGCAAGTCTTGCTACTATGGTCTTGTGAGACTGGGGTTCGAATACGGCTTGGGTCAGTTACAAATGAAGACGAGGTAGTGTTTTCAGCTTCAAAGCTGCTTACGGAAGCTTGACTACGATTTCTTCTCTCTAACTCGGCCATTTCAGCACTAATTCGCCTTTCCAACTCTACTCTGGCCTTTTCTTGTTGATGTTCTAAATTAGTTTTTAGATTCTCTTGCTGCTGTTCTAAATTATCTTGTTTTTGTGCTAAGAGATCTACTCGGCTGTTTAGCTGACCTACCTCTTGCTTAAAGTTTTCTTGAATTTGCAGCAAACCATTCATAATTTCCACCGCTTCTTTTCTACGCCTCTCTTCCTTCTCCTCTTCTCGCCTTTACTTTTCCTCCCCTTCTATATGCATCAAAATATTACCAAATTATGCAAATGCATATTTGTTAAAAAAAACAAAATTAGGGGGTGGGTAGCTCAATGATTAGAGCGTTGGCCTGTGGGCCCAGGGGGTTCAAATCCCAGCCGGGCCAGGATTTTTTAATTAATTTATTGTGAATTCATTTTTTGCAATTTGGCTTTATGCAATGATGTTTTCACGTGTTGAACCACTTTGAACTTTTTTTTACAAACAACTATTTTGGCACAAGCTTTACAAAAAACTTTATCCCCATTGATTTCCAACTCTGGAAAATTAATAATCCACGAAGAAATTCTGGACATTTTAGGACACTTTAAAAACAACAAATTATTACAAGGCTTTTCACTAGCAAAATATCTGGATACTATCGCACAAAACTCTAGCATTAAACTGAATTAAAAACATCCAAAATATTCCGATGCCAGGATAGATTGTTTTCAAGAAATTACTGGGAATTTTAAATAAACAGTTTTATTGCATTGTAGGTAATACTTTATCTCTGAAAATACCAATCCAATAACAATTGCCTTAATGGGCTTAATCCCTTAAGAAGGTAAAAACCCGGTGCATGCCAACCTGCAAAAATTAATTTACAAGAATTTACAAGAAGTAATGCTTAAAAACAAATCCAAAAATTCAAAAGGTCTTTATTTCAAATATATCTGTATATTCCGTTAAAACAGTTTCTAATTTGCACAGTATAGTAATATATTTTTATTTCGAAAATATGCAATATTTTCTGAACTTTGGTAAAATATGCAAAAAAATGCATATATATGCATTTTGCATATATTTCGCTCTTTTCTGATTACCATTTCATTGTGTTTTTTTTATTATTATTAATATTTAGTTATATTCAAACTATCCTTACATCTAATAAATTAGGACTAAATTATATATTACCCAATGCCAAGAAAAGGAGGTACAACTTAAAAATATATTTTTTTATATAAATAAAATTTTTCCTTGGTTTAATCGGCCAAATATTTTTATTTTCTATTGTTTAGCACACTACATATGTTTCTGAAAATACAATTTTTCCTTCTTCAGGTGCAGTCAATTTATAAAAATTATGGCGACGAATACAAACAGTTTAAATTTTTTTAAAATGATAGAACGCCGTCTTTCTAATAGATTGCACCTGAACATGGAAAAATTGTATTTTCCGAAACATATGTAGTGTGCTAAACAATAGAAAATAAAAACTTTTGACCGATTAAACCAAGAAAATTTTTATTTATTTATAAAATTCTGCTACGGTCAGGAAATTATCCTTATTTAAAAATATATAATATCAGCTTAATAAATTATTAAAAAAATGTTCATACATTAAAAAAAAAAAAAACACTTACATTCTTTGGTCCCGCGAGTAAAGGTTTCATTTATCTGTTGAAACATCTGCCCACAAACTCTTTCCCACGATGGAATAATGGTTGATGTTATAATGTCACGATAACATTTTTCCAAAATAGGAGCTATAGACAGGCTTAAGGTATCAGCTAGGGCCTAGAAATTTTAAAATCTTATTTATTTGTATATAATTATTTGTGTATAATTAAAGGTTTCCTTCTGCAAATATAACTTTGTTTTGCTTTTACCAGTTCTGGCATGACATCGTCACTGGCTCCCCTACCAATAATAAAAGTTAAAAATTACATTTACGGATGTGTAATTGGAACTCATAACAACAATAAATTTTTAATTTTCATAGGAAGTAGAATTTGCGCAATAATAAATTTATTCGAGATCCCTATTTCAAAGGTCATATTATATTCTACAGGGTGTCCTACGCCACTGGTGAAATTTGTTTTTTCTTTTTTTTTAATTAGTTACTTTTACATATCTTATCTTTTGATTGAAATTTGATCAATGTTAATGTTTAAGTGTTACAAGTTAACATGAACTTTTTTGCTTAAAATTATGGAATCTATAAACTTTCAGTTGGATCTGTATAATTTGGAACATCTGCATAAAACATTATCAGAACTATAATAGTTTATCTACAAAAAAATTAAGACTGGTTGTAGTGATAATATTATAACAGGGTTATTGTTGTAGTTCGATAGAGATAGATACATGTTTACAATCATAGGTGCAACTATGATCGGATATACAAAGCGATACGGACGGAGACACCGTTAGCCGACTGTAGATGACCCGCAGCAGCCGTTTTAATTGATTTGTTTTATATTAAGTAACATTAGTTGATTATTATAAGACATGAAAGTATGGTTGATGTTTTGTTATGATCTAAACTCATTTTAGGAACTTTTATAGAGAGTTACTTTTTTTTGTTTTAAAAGCTTGTTTAGCTAATTTCGTAGTGTTGACATAAAAAGTACAACATGAACGGGTGGCACTCGCCTTTCCTCGCACACGTGGGGTTTAGTGACTGTAGCACAGGTAGGTGTTTCTTAATAAAAAACGAAGGACCAGGATTTCTTCCAAACATATATTAACGTGAATATACAAATTAACAGATCTTATTAGTTTTAATAAATTGTTTAAAATGCAATGCGTGAAATAACTTTCTATTAGATGTGATGTTTCAATGACTTTTTTGTGACATCTTTTTCCTACTATGTAGGAGTCTATATGGGAATACAATAAATATCAACTAAAACTAAGTATTTGGGACAAAGAGTTTGGGACCAAACACAACATTTTTACCCAATTTTTTTTAAATTTTTTTATATTTGATTTTGTGAATGGAGAACCTTTCAAGAATATTGTGTGAAAATTTGAGATGAATCGGAGCAAAACTAACGAAGATACAGCGGTTTGAGTAACCGCGCCTCATACATAACTGGGCGCATCAGAAAACACCTGCCCGGCCCGAGCGCGCTATTGTTAGGGTTCGATTGCAATTAGAAGAAGGGTTCGATTACAATTAGAAGAACACAGCTACGTCATCATTTGGCAAAGTAATTAATCGGTTATAGCCCCTAAACCGGGGAGTTCAGCTAATATTATAGGAATATAGGATATATTGTTTTCTACCTAACTTACTTATTGTTACTTTCCTATCTGTATACAGACACAGGATAAAGAACAATACAGAAAAGAAACATAGGGCTAAAACAGGAACCTAGCAACCGAAGCCACACCTTCTTCATGGTGGATCATTGTCAAAATTGAACCATAGATTTGTTACTTGTGCAACAGTACACTTTTATAGCAGATGAACGAAGCTGTCACTGCCGTCGCTGTTAGAAAATCAATATTTTTTTCCTGTCGTGTCTTTATTTGTCGTTTTGGATTTTTGGTTGTTTTTAGCGAATATTCTGATAACTTTTACGTTTTTTTAGTGGTTTATTTTTAGTTTTTGTTGATGTTTTTAATTGTGTTGTTAATTTAAGACTTTATTGTATGTATTAAGATTAGGTTTATAAACAATGCCGCGTCAAAGAGGAGGAGGATATACTTGTATTTATCGTGGATGTACCTCAATAACAGGTGACAAAGAAGGATTGTTCACTCTTGTGAAAGATCCAGTGAGATAGGTATGAAACCTTGAGGGTGAAATAGGAATTGACCTTGCCATACCATGGTAGTACAATGATTGTATGTATTTTTCAGACTTGAATAGTGGCTTAAGGCAGCAAATAGAGAGAACTTATTGGGAAATGGTGTTGAAGACTTAAGTAAAAATTACAAAATTTGTGAACTACACTTCCAGGATAAATTCGTTTATCAGTCAGGAAAAGAAAACGATTATTTGCAAATGCATTCCCAACAGTATTTCCCCATTCAGAACCTACGAAAAGAGTCACAGTTTTGCAAGGTAAATAAATACAATTTATAGTTAAATGTAACAAAAAATTTGCTACTCGCCTTGTCATTTTTTACATTACATTTAGTAGTTTAAAAAATAAAATGATAAGCACTAATAATCTTAGAATATCAACCCATACATTCCATTTTGTAGAACTACCTCGGGAGAGGGGTGGGTGGCTCAGTGGTAGTCTCTGCCTGTGGATCCAAGGGTCCCAGGTTCGAATCCCACCGTTGGCCGGGATTTTTTTATTTAATTTAATTATTTAAAATTAATTCTGATGCCTTGGTAGGATTTCTCACTCGACCATTCACTGTTGGGTTCTAATTAACAGTGCTGTTCCTGAAGTGGCGCTGGGAAACAGTAACAAAGCCTACACAGAACACACATGATTGAGAATTTAAACACGAACTTGAGACTGGCATATTAGGTATATACACCTAGGCCATAAATTAAAAAAAAACTACCTCGGAGGTAAACTGCACTATGTCGACATAAAACAACTTATGCAAATTAAAATAAAGTAGTTTTAGTAGTAAAAAATATAAATATTGTGACAATAAATGGGTGTCTAAATGCATATCTAGTTGAAATTTAATAATTTAACAACATTCAAACTGCTGTACTAAAAAGTTGACTAGAGTGACAGTGCAGTTTACCTCCTAGGCACAGAAATATATTCACAATTTATAAAATTATTTTAAATTTCATCTGGCTAAAAAAGTGTGACTCAAACATTTAATTCTGACAAATGATGCACCTTCTTGACACTAACTGATCTGATAAAAATTTGGTTTCTCTTTCTTTTTTTTTAGAGAAATTTGTTGTTCATGGCGAAGAAGGCAAAGACAACTTGTGTCTACCCTCAACTTCAGCAGAAGTAGAATTTATTGAACAAGTACTTAGTCAACCATCTGTTTCTCTACCTTGTATAACAGCACAAATTCAAACGAGTAATGTATTATCATCGAACACTCGAAGAAAGCAGAAACTGCGACTGAACATAGCAACGTTGAAAAAACGTTTGTTTGGTGCAAAAAGAAGAAAAATAATTACTCATTATTTAATATTTTTTATAAGTACCGTTTATATAATTATTCTATATTTTTGTTGTATATTAGGATAAAGCTATTTTAATAAAGCTACTTATCTATGTATTGTAAATTAGGCTTGCTCTATAAATCTGTGTAAACAATTTTAATTATTTTAATTTTCAAACAATTTTATTTTAATAAAATACATGCACTAGATTGTAAACTTATCAATTGCATAAATACGTTTTTTTAAATTTTCTTTTTTTTATTCATAAAATCTCTAAAATACGCTTTAGCTAATGATTTTTTAACAATTATCCCAATTGATTTATACTTATGGATCATAAATTACTAGTGATTTGTTGTACAATATTAATAGTTCATTATGACAGGGTAATATAAACTATTGTTGAAAACTTTATAATTTTTATTTTTGAAACCTCTTTCGGAAGTGCTACAAATCAAAAAATAATTTACTTAAATCCAGAATAGTTTCAAATGCATTCATGTAAATTTTCATAAAATATGATACATAATTATGTAAAAGAGAAATGTAGTTTTCGCAGTGTAGGTTCAGTGAATAGCTACGTTCGCGTGTACTGTGAATAATTACGTTTTCTCAGAGTATCTCTGTGGTGGAACTCAAGGTCAAATATTTCTATCCCTTCAACTTCAAAGTTCTGACCATTACTTTATTTTCTGTATTGTTCTTTCTTCTGTGATACAGATATAACGAAAGTATAGGAATCATGATTTTTTTCGACCTCGAGTTTTCGACGGATTTTTACGTTTTGAGGTCCCCTGAATCCGTTTTGACTATTTTCGCGATGATGTCTGTGTGTGTGTCTGTCTGTGTGTCTGTATCCTCGATAACTCGTGAACCGATACACAGAAAAACACCAAATTTTAAACTTAAGTTTTATTCCAACGTCCAATGAACTGATTAGATTTTGGACAGAGTCGGAACATCTGGGGGAGTACTTTATAGGTGGTCATTTTTATATTTTATGGAATATGTTATTTACGTTTGGAGAAGAAAATTCTTTAAATAAAAGTTACTTCTAATATTATTATCTATAATTTTTGTTTTATACAAAATTTTCCTAAAATGGTCCGTATTCGAGAAATTTGACAAAATGTAAAAAAATCATTTTTTATAAAAATTGTTCAAATAAAAGTTGTTTGTAATATAATTCTCTATAATTTTTATCTATACATAATTCTCTAAAATGGACTGTATTCGAGATATTTGAGAGAATGTGTAAACATCTAATTTTGAAGAAAACTCAAAAACGGATAAAGGAAAAAACATTAAATTTTAAACTTAAGTTTAATTTTGGCCTGACGAGAAATGATTAGATTTTGGACAAAGTCGGAACATCTGGGGGGGTACTTTATGGGAAGCCGTATTTTATGGAATATATCTATTATTTATGTTTGGAGAAGAAAATTGTTCAAATAAAAGTTACTTCTAATATTATCTTTAATTTTTGCCTTATGTCAAATTTTCCTGAAATGGTCCGTATTCGAGAATTTTGACAAAATGTGCAAAATTCTGATTTTTAAGAAAATTGTTAAACTAAAAGTTGTTTGCGATATCGATCTCTATAATTTTTGTTTTTACATGATTTTTCTAAAATGGACCGTAATGGAAAAATTGGAGGAAAAGTGCTAAATTTAAATTTTTCAGTATTTTCGTTTTCAATGAATATCTATAGAAAAATGTTTCTTCGAGTTAGATGTATGTAGAAAATGTATATATTTAGTTTATCCTCTAAACATTTATAGAGGTGCTGCAATAGGTTGTACAAAATAACCGGAAAAAGCCTATAATAACTAGATAGGAAAGTCATGTGTTGGACATATCAGATTTTTTATTTATTGATAGTTATAGATAATATGTATTCGAAATTCGAAGTAATGGTTATGACGTAGCGGTGTTCCTCTAATTGTAATCGGACCCTACCTGGCAGCTGTTGTGCTCTCTATATAATCCCTAACCTTACCTCCTACCTTTCTTTATAGAAATTTCAACACAAATACAAACATGTTTATACCTGTACTGTATATAATTTAGTGTAGCATTGGCCTGACAGGTTTTTTTGCTTTACTAATCTCTATGCAAGACATGGGAATCAGTAGTGGATCAAGCGCTCATGAATGAGGATGTGTCGTAGACAGGAGCAAAAAGATGCTTTAGACATCATGGATGATAGCAACATCCTTTATGGACCTGGCACCGATGATTCAGTGTGAGATAAGCCGATAAAACTCGCCTATGAACGTTTGATTCCAAATTTTTTAGTGTTCAAAACTTTAAAGCGTTTTCCCACAACTCACGTTTCCAAAGTCGGTACCCCTCATAACTTTAAAACTACTGCACCTATCCTTTTGAAATTTTGAACACTATTTCCGTACATAATTTACGAGGTAACGCTGGAGAGTTTTTTCAATTTGTTAATATTTTTTTATTTTATGATAACAAATTAGCCTATTTTTTTCGCAAGAATCGCGTATTTTACTTCAAAGTGTTCCCGAAAAGTGAAAAATTGAAATTTTGAAAAACCCTTCCAGCATTACCTGGAAAAACGATTATTTAACGAAATTCGATTTTTTTATTTCTGATGATCCAGCAACGAGTTAGGAGGGGGGCACCGCAATTCTACTTTTTTCCGAGACGCTTCCGAATAATTGCTATTTCCGTATTTTTTAATATTTTGACATAAAAATTTGAGACAATATTCTTTGAATGTTATACTTTAATGCAATTAACCTTACACCCCCCCCCCCCCCCCCCCCCAAAGATAAAATCAAGGAAATCGCATTTTTAGTTTTTTTTTTTGGCTGTAAGTCACAATGATTTTTTAACATAATACAGTTACGTAACTTGTAAAGAGACTTTTTGGATTTTGCGGTCATATTGTAGTACACGTGGTACCAATATCTCGTTTTTGAAAATAGTGCATTCTGCACAGTCTAATTTTGGATTACGTCCGGTTTTAGAATCTCCAAAATATTAGTTTTCAATAAATTAACAATTTAGCTTGTAATGCTCAGTCCCAACAGAAAGCATGATTCCGATTGACTGTCACTACACTATTATAAACGACAATCCATAATTATTAAAAAAATAAATAAATAAAGAAATAAATACAAACCTTATTATTGAAAGCCTTTGCAATATTATCCCTCAATGTGTTATCAATATTTGTTAACTTCTGAACATACTGAGACTCCATATTATGCCTATAAGAATCTATTTGATTATGAATTGATGGTAAAATAACATGTTTAACTTCATGAGTCATAATCGTTTGCAACTTTTCAGACAAAGATTTACTCAAAACTTGGGTTACTGTGGACAAAATGTGCTCTTGTAAATCTCGCTCATTATTTTTCTGCATGCTAACCAGACTTTCCAACATTTTAGCAATTTGCAATTGTTGTTTAGACATGGCAATATCTAATTCTTTCATGTAATCATCTTTATCAAATTTGTCTTGGGTTATTTTTTCACGAACAATATTTTCTAAAGCATTTATTCTGAAACATAATAGCTGTATTTGAGATTTTTCATCTGCACTACTCAACCTCAACTCTTTTCTTAGACTTTCATCTTTTATCAGATCATTTTCTGGGACAACTGGAATCGTAGGCCAAACTACATCATTGGCCAAAGTGTCTTTGAATTTCAAGTTGGTTTGATTTGAGTAATCCTTCTGGGGTTCCTCTTCAGATTCTTGGGGCTTTGGAAGATTATCAAAGAAATCTTGTGTACTATAAGAAGAGTTGTTGAGAGATAAAATTTCTTGAACTTCTCTGCTAGGACTAGAACCGCCACTAGCAAAATTGTCCTTTTGAGGTCTCTGAAAATCGATGAGATTATCAACAATTGAGTCATCTATATCTATTTCATTTATAGACTTGTCTACTAAAGAGTTAGATGTTTCAATTTTAACGCTACTAGGTCTTGTATTTTGTGTAGGAGAAGTAAAATCATCTGGTGTCATAAGAGTAAGATTTGATGAGCTACTCTTCTGTTGAATCAACAAAGAAACAGATTCTTGTAAATCGTCTAATTTAGGAATTTTCTCCTCTACTATTGGTTCTTCTTCAATTCCATTCAGAGTGTTAAAAGATAAATTTTCAGGTTGAAATACTATATTGCATTCTTGGAATTTCTTTGGTTGTATAACTAGCATTTTTAAGCAAACTGCAGTTTTTTCTTGTTCTTCATCATAATCTTCTCGTTCGTCATATAAATCTTCAGTGCTAGTGTTATAAGAAAATGGCATTAATCGGCTACTTGCTTCTAAAATGTGCAAACTGAGAAATGGAGCTGGTAGAAGAAATTCAGACAGCATTGTAACATGTACTGTTTGTTCTTTATCATTTCTGTTTAACTCCAATACATAGATAACTCTATTGTTAATATCAGAAACGACCAGATATTTTCCGGTATAGTCTATATTGATATTCAAATAAAGTCCAGATATAAGGCCTGAAGGATCAGACTTAAAATAGATGGTTTGAATGCATGTCCAACTTTCACAAGACCATAATTTAATTTCAGAATTGTTGTTAGCACCAGTTATTGTGAATTTCCAGCACCTTGAAAATATAAAGTTGTTATAGTAGAGAAGCGATTTTTATGAAGATTATTGCATATTTAAAATATTTATTAAAAAATATAGAGAAAAACAAAAATTAACCATTTTTTTAAACTTACTCAGAACTATACTCCAATACATTATCAATGAAAATAATTGAAGAAAGAGGTGCTCCATCATGAGGTCTCCACTCATGCAGGCACTTTTGTTTTTCATTGTCAAACATATAAAGCTAAAATATAATAAATTTTATTAGAAAAAATAACAATATAAAAAATAAACAAGTAGTACTAATAAACAAGAAGGAAAAAACCCATAGAAATAGTATAGAAAGCCAATGCCATACACCAAGAGTGAAACAAAAAAGAGTAAATAGTGTTTCGGAGCGCATGCTCATAAAAGTGCCGGCTTGAACAGGACCGGCTCAAGTTTTATATTGATCGATACATAAGTGAACATACACGATGTTTCAGGTTAGCAGTCATACATTTCTAGAGGTATTTCTATATAAAAAGTTCAAGTAAACATGGTTTTGAAAGTCTTTGTTAATGGCGGCGGCTGGCCATATCTCGAAAACTGTTGATCTGGACAATTTCGCAATTTTTTTTACAAAATCATTAAAGGAAAATACTTAAAAATGTTTTTAACTTTGTAGCTTTCCGCGGTCAAGGGATATATCATACAAAATATAATTGTTTTCATAAAAAAATCTATATAATTTTTAACCTAGCTTTCAAGAAAACTAAACAATATTTTGAAGTGTGATGTGTTTCATTATTTTCCTGTGTTAGTTGTAACGGAAAGAAAACATGTGAATATGTTTTAAAGAAAATTCCTAAGTAAGTTAATGATTACATGTGGTTTAGATACCAAAAGTCAAAGTCATTTTTCGAGTACTTACAAAACAACTCCTTACTTACTTACAAAATTCCTTTATTTACAATATGTACATTTAAATGGTATAATAACAATTAGCAACATATGTGCAGCGGATATCTTCTTAACTGTGTCTAAGAAGTATTCCTAACTGCGAAGACCTCAGGCGAGGCCATGACCAATGTCTTGGCCGTGTAATTAAGTTATTATTTAATATTAATGATTTCCGTGACCTCTCCTTACTTATCAAAAGCATTATAAGTCAGTTATGGCTGCTAACTAGATCGGTATTTGTAAAGTGGTAAGTTTTTGTCAGATTTTACTTTTGTCTGTCTTACCTGAAAAACTGATTGAAAAAACAGGGTTAAATTTATTAGTTTTAAAAATCTAAATTTTGATTTAAAAAATATATCATTATTAATTTGTAAAACTGTTCAAATTAACTCCAAAATGGGTCCAAACAAATGATACGTTATGAATGAAATACTTCATCTGTTGTTTCTTTTACCTAAGGAGGATATACAATGTAGCTTTTAACTTCTTTAAGAGTTTCACTTTTATTATATCATTTCCAGGTAACTTTATTTTTTAAACTATTTATATTGTTTACCTCTATCTCATTTACAGGGTTCAGATACATTGAATTTTCCAGTTTCAGTGTTTCTTTAAAATAATCATTTGGTTATTGATCTTTTTTGCATAAATTTCTCCCAATTACTGTAATGTTCATTAAAATGTTCAACTATTTCTGATTTGTTGCTTCACCCGACTCTAATTTTATATCATTTATTTTTAGGTTAGAATTATTACATAAGTTGGTAACGGTTTTCAACAAGTTTTTGTAGATTTGTTTTTGTTTATCATTTTCTTTGCCTATTATCTACTTTTTTCTTTTTTTAATTTGATATACATTTATTTTTACTTTAAAAATGTTAAAAATTTAATTTAAATACCTGAAAAAATTTTACATAACCATCTGTTGAAGCAATTGCTATTGCAGTACCATCTGATGAAAAAGATGCATCTACTACTTCGGAATTGTGGCCTATTTCTATATACCCCTCAAAAGTATCATCTGGGTCTAAAGGACCCCCTTTACCATATTTAGAAATTAGCATTTCAACATTGTATATTTCAGCTAAAAAATATTCAATAGGTTAAGAGATGAAGGTGAATACTAATTGACAATCTTACCTTTGGTTCCATTTAAAACTACAAACATTTTTTCGGGTTCATCACTATTATCTTCATCGTCAACTGATAAATACGGACACCATATTAACCTATAATTTGTTTTGGGTCTTCCCCCATCATGGTGATAAATATGTAGAAGTAAAGTGTACCTAAACGTTGTAGTCAAGGACTTGATACTAAGTAAATTATTTTTCATTTATATTTTTGTATCTTGAAGAAAAGCAAAAAATATGGAGGTAGTTAGTTAATATATGGGCATTATTAAAATACATGTACATGTTATCTATAATACGTGGTTGAGGCTATGGAGGAGCGGTTGACTTTTATTATGGGTTTCTATGATTTCACCAAAATTCTAGACAATGTATATCAGTAAAAAAAGTGAGAGAGGTTCGACACTAAGACTCCTGAGTATTGCCGCAGGTCGCAATAAGGGGGAGAATCTCATGAGTTAAGTAAATCATCCATATTCACAATTGTGGCATTTCCTTATGAGGAAAGAAAACTTGAAATCCTGTATCACAGAATTTTGATCTGTAGTAACGAACTTCCGAGTTTTCATTCCTCATGAATATATCGCCAGTCATTCTAATACCTCGTAACCCTCACTTTTCCAAAAATTAGATTTTTTTTTCACAGGTCGCTTGTTGCCTTCAAACAAGCAACACCGGTTTCTGTGCGAGACAAGTAGCAGCGATAAGTTTACTGTTTAATACCAAAGTCCACACATGGCTACATACCTGCCAATAGACCTTTTCATCACAATTTTTTTTTGTGCGCATGCGTCAGTTTCAGCCATCTTTTTCGTACTGTTTTTGTAAACAAGTATGTTAAAATGCTTACGTGAAAAAAATTATAATTGATTAATTTAAGTCTATTCGCGATTCAAGCTAAGTGATACGCCCTCTGGAGGAAATTTGTAGAAGGTCCGAATAAGTAGGATATCGTTCAGTGTTGCCAGAAGTAGCAAAACTTCGCTACGTCGTCGGATTTTAGCTCTGGAAGAAGTGGATAAAACCTTTTATTTAAGAATCAAAATTTGTGTATGTTATGATAATCTATATTTATTTAAGGATTTTTTTATAAAACCGATTTATTATATTGATTTTTTTTAAATTTCAGTTCATTTATTAATTTTGTTTTAAAATCAGTTCATCATTTGGCAACATTGGCGTTCATGTTCATTGTTTACATTTTAATTTGTATCAATTACAAATAGTTTTTTTTTACTTTTTAGCTTTAAATTTGTTTTTTTCTTATAGCATGTGATAGTGTTTATATTAAAAATGAAATCTGTGACGAAGTCCCCAGAAAATTGCAATCTATATGGTGTTAATGTCAAAATCAAAACTGAAGATTCATTATTTTCCAAGTACAAGTCGTAAAATTGTGTTTTTTACGATAAATGGATATCTACAAATTCACAATATTGAAATTTTACGAAACTTTGTTTAGAATCAAACTGAAATCTTATTTTTTGACGGTTTTATTACCATTTACATGTATACAAAGTACTACGTGATTCACTTCATAATATAAGAATAAGTCTAGTAAGATTTTTAAATAAGTGCATCAGTAATAAACGTGTGGTACCTGAAATGTCCTTTAAACCACATAATACAACATGTCCTGGGTTTAGTGAATACATATTTCTAGATGTTCTTGTAGTAACCAATAGGTACATATTTCCAACAAATTAAGTCATACACATGATAAATATTATATTTATGACGAAAGCACGAGACTTAAACTTAAATTAACACTAAATGAAACTCAAAAACACTATTACAATGAGAATATTATCTAAAAACAGTTAAAAAAATCACAAATACAAAATCCGTCCAAAACAAAAATCCTACTTATAGATGACAAATGACAGGCGCGCGAAAATTAATTTGAATCGCCAATATTCATTTAAAAAAAGGAAGAAAAAAGTAAAGTAATAATAAGTTTAGTGTCTTAATTGAAAAATACATTTTCACAATCAATTATAATTATGTTATCTGTACGGAAAGGAACAACGAAACAGTGTTGTTATGTAAAAGTGACACACGGTATAAATCATTCAAAGGCAATAGATATTATTTTATAAATTTTCCAAAGCCTTAACTGCAATATCGTAAACAATTATCAGGCAAAATCCATATTAAAAGATATTCGAAATGTGCATTAAGTGTGAAAAAATATGGTCGAAGTGACAACGGTTTTCGATGGATTAATGATGTTACTAAAGATACTTATATTTCACTGTATTTTCATGGAGAAAGTGGTCCAACAGAAGAAAATTCTCATGTGGTATTAAACAATATTTTTTTAATATTAAATACTACTTCGGTATACACATTAAATGATTAAAAATGTCATGTTGATCCTCAAAATAATAAATAATTTATTTTATTAATTATACTCGTGATTAACTTTCATGCTAATTAAAGTGTTTTTGCAAGTAGTAATAGTTGGTTGGCATAATTAATTAGAATAAAGTTATAATTATTATTTGTTTTCATTAATTTTTTACAGAGTTAAAAAGTATTGATACACCTAACCTCTCAATTAGTCCACTTTGTTCCTTTGTAACAAACATCCAAGACACTTCAACCTCCTTTTCAACTGCTCACAACTATGCGCTTCCACAGAGTTATAAAAAAGTTATTCACTATCAACGATTTTTTCTAACGATTAATTTTTCTGTAGAGATAACATTGCTTTTCCAGCCATTGTCGATCAAAACAGTACGAAACTTTTGAATTACCGCTATTTCAACATGGTGGCTGCGCTTGCGCTCATCACATGATGAAAAGGTCTATAAATCAATCGAGAACAGGGAAGAAACTTCTATCATAAAATAAACTGTCAAAATATAAAACAAGGAATAAAATTCCAAATATCACAAGACAATGGTATAGACTATACCACAGATGAAGAAAAGGTCGATGCATTCAAGTAGAACTTCATTAAAACATATAACGGAACGAAAGACCCATCTTTTGAACAAGAAAATTGGAATAATGTAAACTTATGGTGCAAACAATATTATAGAAACAACCCAATCAATGAGGAATATAACACAGAATTCGAGGAGGAAAAATACTTTCAAATACTATCCAATCAGAAAAACTCCGCTCCAGGATTGGACATGATCCCATGGCAAATCCCGTGAAAAAACTAGAATATAATATACATATCTATATTATAAAAATGTTTGTATTCTGTCACAAAAACTCGTACTTTCCAGATCAATGGAAAAAAGGCACCATCATAATTATCCCAAAACCAGGCACAGACCACAAAAGAATTGATAATTACAGACAAATCACCCTTCTTCCTGTTTTGGGAAAACTATTCGAAAAACTTATTAGGGTAAAACTATCAGCATTAGTAAACGAACGAATTCCGCAATTCCAATTTGGTTTCAGAAAACAAATCTGCGCTCTGGTATCAACCACTTTGCTGGTTTTCAATGTGCAAACAACAAAATTGAACAATAAAAAATCTGCCATTCTTCTGTTGGACATTAAAAAAGCCTTTGACTGTGTTTGGCACAACGGCCTCCTATTTAAACTAAAACTTCTTAATGTGCCTAATGGTCTTATAAGTCTTATCAAAAAATTCCTTCAAAACAGAACTCTAAGAGTTAAAATAAATAACCACATATCTCCAAGTTTCATAGCAAATCAAGGTGTACCGCAAGGGTCTCTCCTTTATAACATATATTGCTTTGATTTTCCTTCAGGTCAGTTACACCTCAATACAGTAAATTACACACTCCAATACGCAGACACGGCCTTGATATCGCATGGAAATACGCTGAATCAAACCATCACAGCACTACAAAATCAATACAACGAAGTTGCTTAATGGCTCAATAAATGGAGATTGTCAGTTAACCCACAAAAATGTCAATTAATGATACCCTATCATGTTCGACATCATCTACACTCATCATATCTAACCAACCAATCTATCCCGTATCCTCAGTGAAATACCTAGGCCTTATTATTGATAATAAGCTGAACTTCAATGAACACACACCTGCAGACAAAAAAACAAAATCAAAACCAGAGCCAAACATTTCCGCTCTTTAACATACAAAAAAGAAGGTATCAACACCTACACGGCCACTAAAATCTACAAAACAATTTGCAGACCTCTCCTGGAATACAGTCACACTATATATTTAAACTGCCGAAAACCTGCATTAAAAAACATTCAAGTGGCCGAAAATTATACACTAAGAATCATTACCAAGTTGCGACATCCTCAAAACCCCACTCATCATCCAGCGAATGAATATCCTTACGAAAAAACTAAAATTCAGCCTATCCTGGAAATAATTAGAAAACTGTCAAAAAATTTCTCGAAGAAACGAAACAATCACATGCTAATAAACATTTTTTCGATGCAACGACAAATTGGTCAAGCAAAGTTTAAATACCCAGTGAGATCAATAACAGAAAACTTACAACGAATTTGCCGATGAACAATAATTAGTGACACATATTGTTTTTTTTTAAATATCTTAATATTTGTATTCATCCTACACATATAGCTTGTAAATCCTCATACATACCATACAAATTGTACTGGCTGAAGGATATAGATAGATGGCCACTTGGTTGTAATATTCATAACCAATAAAGTGCTATTATTATTATTATTAGATTTTTTTCATCAAACTGTTGCAATTACGCACACGCATCGTCACAGAAAACCTCGTAGCTCACAAAATAAATAAAATAAACTGTTATATTGTCTTGTATGCAAATTTTGTATTAAGTATGCTGTGGTTTTGAGCCTCTTCTATCAAATGAGTTACACGATATTAGAATAACTTCAACAATATGATAAACGAAATGTCAAATATTATGTGCCTCAATCATTTATATCTATAATGATACAAAATTAGCAAATGGCAATCTTACAGATGTGAAAATGTAGCTAAACATTGGTTTTACAGTAGAATTATTTTAGGACAGCAACATAATAAAATTATTTGAAACTGATCAAATTTATTTAATAAAGTTTGAGCATTTAAGTAGAGAATATCCATATTTAACAGTATATTAGGGTCTTTTATTGATTTTTTTTTCATTTTCTTGATCTGTCATGTGTCTACTACCAGGACAGATTGCTGATAAATATCGATAAATGCATTTTAATCAAGAACACTTACTGTGGTTATAATTAAAGTCCCAACGAAGCTTCGGCATCAGCCTAAAAAGCACATTCAGTCGCACTTCGGCTTCGGCCAAAACTAGTCGAAGGTGTTTTGCCGAAGCCGAAGGTTTGTGTCCAGCCGCCGAAACTAGACGAAATAAATATTACGATTTACGAATGACGCAAATTTTTAAACGCAAAGCTCGGTTCTCGCTTCCCGTCGCCCACATCACGAGGTAACGACAACTATTCTTGCGTAGGAAATGAGGGTGGAGAAGTTAATGTTTGATTGACGTTTTAGTTTAGCCAAGTAAGAAATTATTAAGTCTTAATACGACAAGAGTCGAACAATCGGCTTCAGGTTCGGCCAAAAACTGACATTCAGTCGGACACTAGTTATAATGGTTTATCTCATCCAGATTGTTAGTCAAAATCAGCTTGCTTTAATAATGTTTTTTTTAACATCGGAAATTTCTAAATGTTTATCATAGTTAATCCTTCCAATGATGGTAAATCTTAGATCAAGTTTGGTAATTTATTGTGAATAATTTTATTGCAAATTTGTATCACCTTTTGGGATAGCTATGATTTTATTTATTTATTTATGTAGCACTTACAGAATGTAAAATTCCAAATAGTACAGTACATCTAAGCTAACACAAACAATTGTAGGAGTTAAAAACAATATAAAATAAATTAAAAAATATATATATAAAATATTAAAAAAAGGAAGAATAACACAACACCGCCAGACGATACGAGTAAAACTTACGACATTCAGACGTTGCAAGTCCCTTTTGAGCGCTAAAATATTACAATTAAATATATCACAGTCCGAGTAAAATTTGTTATAGTTCTTGCATAAGCGATCAATAAATGCACTTTGTCCGTAATTGGTTCTGTGTCTTTTTACATTCAGAAGTGATGTATGCCGAGTCCGTCGGGCAGGAACCAATAATTGAATTATCTCAAGCAGTGACCCGCACTTGATAGAACCACCTATTAATTTAGCCAGGAATAGGATTAAAGCATCTTTTCTTCTGCATTCCAAGCTCTGCATGCCGCAAAGCAGGTATTTTACGAATTTACGTTGCACCCTTTTAATTCTATTGATATGACAGGTGTAAGTAGGTTGCCAAAAAACAGAACAGTATTCCAGGACACTTCTCACCAGGCCATTGTAAAGTGTCATGATTGCTTTTGTGTCATTCATTCACGTACCTAGTGTGTCTCTTGATGAAGCCAAGTATTCTGAGGGCTTTGCATACTATGGAATCTGTATGGTTGTTAAAAGATATTGTGGTATCAAAAATAATGCCCAGATCAATAACTGTCGAGGATCTATCTAGGTTGACGCTGTCAATACTGTAACAGTTAAGAGTAGGATTGTGGGATCTTGTAAAATACATGGTTGTGCACTTTATTTATAGAAAGAGCGTTATTTTTACACCAGGTAGCAAACCTGTTTAGGTCAGACTGTAATGCGGAATTACCAGTGTTTCTACTAAAAAACTTTAAATCGTCCGCGAAAAGAAGGAAAGCAGGACGTAACATCATTAAAGAATAAGGAAAACAATAGGGGACCTAGATATGAACCTTGAGGAACACCGGATAGGACTATAACATCACATGATACAGAATTATGCACTATAACACGTTGACACCGATTACTCAAATAAGATTTAATCCAGTAAAAATAAGAACCAGAGATACCGATTTCGGAGAGTTTCTTGAGTAGCAATTAATGACAAACACTATCAAAAGCTTTGACAGATCGGTGTAGATGGTGTCAACCTGGTAGCCATTTTCAATTGATGAAATTAAGAAGTCTTGATAAATTGCCAGATTAGTTGATGTCGAACCTTGATAGAAACCATGTTGTTGAGGTGAGATATAGTTTTTATACATGTAAAACATTTCATCTGTTAGTATGGATTCAAATAGTTTTGGAATTATTGATATAATGGAAATACCTCTATAATTCTTTATAAAGCTTTTATCACCTTTCTTGTAAACTGGCATAAGATGGGAAAACTTCCAAGCAGATGGAAACATTCCACTATCAAATGATTTTTGGAAAATTTGGCTAAGTGGGATTGAAATTCAAAATTACGAATTTTAAGGTCAAATTGTTGGATTAATCTATTAAGAATATTGAGATTAAATCTTTGTGGAGGTCTGCAAATAAACAAATAGGTTCTGCAACTTTTCTGAAGTAAGGATTCAAGTGACTCTATAGCTATGAGTTTACCTTTCCGAGCATTGTCATCGCCGGTGAATAGGATAACGATGTCTTGGTTATTAAAATTTTAAATGTACCTAAGGCACATTTTTATACGGTCCTCAAATGAAGATTTTGTTGACCATTGACAGTTAATATCATAGTGGCTGTTGGTAATGTAACCTAAGATTAAAAGTTGGGGTTTTCGAGCTGATAAGGAAGGTTTATCTTGAAGTAAAGATTGCAGTGTAGCCCCAGTTGAGTTGTTATCTTTTTGAATATTGTTCACCAGACTTTTCAGCGCTTTTAGTTCTTGAATCGGCGATGAATTTTCTTACTCAAGAACAGAAATTGAATTTTTCATGTCCTTATGTATTTCGGTTAGGTCATTTACCTTAGCGTCTGAGTATTCAAATCATTACCTAATTTAACTCTAGTCTACAAGTCCTTGTTTAGTATCTGAAAAGATTGCAATTATTTTTCTAATTCCTCAATATATTGTCGTTGCTTTTTTTATTATTAATATTAATATTAAAACTGTCCTTCACTTCAGAAACGTTGTTAATAAACTCTTGTGTGTCTCTCTTCAGCCGTTTAATATAATTTTTTTCTCGTCAATTGTATTTTGTAGATTGTCAATTTCTTTTATATAGCCCTTTTCGCGTTCTTCATTATGTGAAACTTGAAGTTGACATTTTTTTGAACAATAAATTCTGTAACCATCTAATTTAACAACTTCTTTAGACCGATCTAAACAACTAGGGAGGAAAATACCAGCATATGACATACAACAGTAATTCGAAAATTCTTATTTTTTATTACCCACACACAAACAGGGAATACAATTTTTCACGTCCTGGGGTCTATCAGGATGACTTTAAAAATACAAACGAGGAGGACCACAGTATAGGAACATGGGGTGAAAACAGAGGACTGGGTAATTTTTTTGTTTGATTTCAGACAAAATTAAATAAATAAATCGCTGCTCGTAATATTAAATACCTGCTGTGTGGTAGAGTAGTCACAGCTAGATTTAACTAAAATATCAATATTCCAGCAAAACAAAAAAAGATAAGATAACTATATACAGGGTGTTTCCGAACTTAGCGTCCAAATTTGTAGGGGTGGTAGTTCGCATAATTTGAGAGCGATTGGCAGATTTAATTTTTCTAAAAAATTATAATAAACAAAATAGAGCCATTATAAAAAAATCAAAGAGCGGGTCCTACCCTGAGCGCGTAGCGCAATAGTCGCGATCGGTTACTCATCGGGACTTATAACTCAAAAACAGATGCGATTTGCAATTTTGTCTATTCTAAGCTAACTTACGGAGAACTCGATCGTAGCGAGCGCGAGTCGATTCCATTGCCGTTCAGGACCGTACATGTTTTAAAATTTTTAATTATTTTAATTTTAAATATTTTGGAAAAATGAAATCTGCGAATCGGTCTCAAATTATGCGAACTACCACCCCTACAAATTTGGACGCCAAGTTCGGAAACACCCTGTATTTCTATATTTACTGTTAAATTAATTTAGTTTTTTTAGCTCTTTTATAATGGATAACTGATCTAACGCAATCGATTATCACGTTTGATGCGTTATTTTTCACCCTTTCACTGGATATCAAAAACACTATTATAACTTGAAATTAAACCAACAAATTTCTAATTTAACGATGAGCACAGATAAAATTCACCACTCACGACATTGTGATGGTGATGGTTTTATAAATTCAAAAGCGCTCAACCTAATTTTAATAAAAACTTAAATTAATAAACAATGACTTATTCATATCAATCTTCACCTTCGTTAATTATATTCAGCTTATTATTAATTAACTGAATCATTTTGGAATTATCACCCTTACTAACAAGATCTGCTTGGCCTTATTTTTTTTTAATATCCCTGTTGTGGAAACGAAGTTTGATGAGATGCAATTTTTATTACTGGAATTTTTCAGGTTCACGTTTATTTTACTCAAAAACGGAGTTTCGCAGGAAAACAATTCAAGAGAGCTCTTGTGTTTCAAATTAAACAAGGAATTCAAAATTTTCATTGGGAAAAAACTATTGGGGAAAAAATAAAAAATATCGAAGTCAGTACCTGTATGCACGCCACTATTAAAGCAAATATGCACCTTTAATAAAGGTCACTGTGTACTAAATTTCACTGAAATGTCTCAAAAATATTAATTTATTATTTTTTTAACTTTGGCTTCCCCTATTTTCATTATAGAACATTTTTGGAGCATAGTTTGTAAAGTAAATTATAATCAATTTCTCATGTAGATTCACATCCTTAAATATTCGTATATCATTAAAAAAACAGCCTGCATTTACAATCAAAAACAAATTAGAAAAGGGAGACTTTTTAAAATGATATGCTAAAAATGGCTATTTATTTTTGGACAGCATAGGTACAATCTTGTCACTTTTAATATGTACATGTATTTCAATAATACCTTGTATAAACAAATTCATTAATAATCAAATTGGAATGTAATCAAATAAAATAATTATTAAAAGGATACGTAAGTGCATGTGGTGTGTCATCTATTTTATAAACCAATATATTTCCTTCAGTATCTACACAACCTAAAATAATTTCTTCTCTAGAAAAGGCAAAAGCTAAATCCTTAATATCATCTTTTAAATTTTTGATTAAGGTCCTGTTATTGTTCTCTTGATTAGTTACTCTTACCATACCACCTTCCTTGCCTAAACAAAAAAAATGTCAAGTAGTATTTATACAAAGTGTGACAAAACTTTGATACATCTTAAAAAATAATATTCATAGAATTTAAGTTTTATAAGTAATTATGTTCTTCAAATTCTCAACACTGTAAGAGCTGGTTGCAAGAATATATGACATGAACTTCAAATTACTCAGAGTCTAAGCAACAGTGAGAACTATTCAGAGTCCGAGTTTAGTTAATATAAAATCCAGACAATATTGATATTTTCAAGGATGCATTAAAATAATTTAGAACTATTAAAGAACACATCTAACTCTATTATAGCAGGAACAGAAATTGGAAAAGCTTTTCCCAGTTCTCTCACTCACATACAGGATTTGACAGTTTTCAGAGGAGCTAGTCGAAGTGAACACGAAACATGGGGAAAGAAAATTATTTTATAGATGCTAATAACAACTTCACGTAAATAGTTTAATAAATTGTGTATAACTGTTGAAATTTTGTAGAATTATGATTTGAGATGTTATTAATTATTTAAATAATTATTTTTAGCCCATAAATAGAAACAATTGCCCGATTCTACCAGTAATGTTTGGTACTATTTTTATTTTACGTTACGACACTGACGAACAAACGGGTTTTGTTTTCTTTTTATGGCCTAGGTGTATATACCTAATGTGCCAGTCTCAGTTTTAGTTTGATTTTTTATTTGTCTGTTCTGTGCAGGTTTGTTTACTGGTTTCCATCGCCACTTCAGGAACAGCACTGTTAATTAGAACCTAACAGTGAATGGACAAAGTGGGGAATCCTACTTAAGCAGAATTATTTTTAAATAAATTATATAAAAAAAATTGCCCAACAGAGGGATTTGAATCTTGGACCCTTGGATTTGGAATAACCGAATTCTCAAAGTAATTTTCCGGGGTTTGACGTTTACCACCTCTCTACCTATCAAAGGCCTTTCCAACTTCTGTCCCTGCTATAGGAATAATATTCTTAATTTTATATTTTTTCTATCTCTATTATGTACAATATTGTCATTTTTATTATCTTTTATTCATAAAATCTAAGTTAGTATTTAATACCTATGTTTCCACACATGTAGGTGTTTGCACCTAAATCTGTCAGTTTATCAGGCTGGAAAATATATGTGATTCTATTCAACTCTGTTAATTGGCGATTTTAACTTTGATTATACAAATGACTGTTTTTATAGTAATAAAATTAAAGCAATGTTTTTACAATATGGAATTGACCAATTAATCACTGGGCCTTCACGAATTACAAATAATAGTAAAACTTTGATAAATTATGTATTAGTTAATAATAATTTTGTTAATGCTACAGTTCATCATACTCCAAAAATTAGTGACCATTCTATATCTGCTAATCTTAGTAATAACAACAAAGACATAAATATAACCACTAAAATGTATAGAAACTTTAGTAAAACTTAGATAAAATTAAACTCGACTTAATATCATGTAATTGGAACTTAAATTCTACTGATGTAAATACTATATACGATGAACTTTATAAGAACTGTAAAACGGTAATAAATAATGTAGCGCCAGTATAAAAGTAATGTTCCATGGTTTGATAATGACATTCATTTTAAAATAAAGGATAGGGATAAAATGTATAAAGAAGTTCAGACCACTTTTAGAGCTGATAAAAATTAAAAATAGGGAACATTTAAGAAATTGAGGAATGAAGTTGTAAATTTACTAAAAATTAAAAAAGAACAATATTATTTTAATAAAATTAATAGATATAAAAATAATTCTCCACTAATGTGGAAGACTCTTAAAGTTAATTAATACTAACAGTCAAAATTTTCCAAATTTTATTGAATTTAATTTAAACAATGAACGCCAAATCGAACATAATGTTACTGAAATTGCAAGTAAATTTAATATATTTTTTATAGGTAGCATTACTCTCTATTGAAATAACAGGAAATTTCTGTAACTATAATAATATTATATATCCTCAATTTTCAAATTTTCGGTTGTTGTCATTAAGTGACTTGAGAGTAATTGTAAAGTCATTGGACAATAAATGTACTATTTATGAAATCCTTAATTCCAAAATGTTGAAAGAAGTATTTGAAACGTGTGGTTATGTTATCTTAAATCTAATTAATACTTTTCTTTAGACTGCAGCAGTACCAGATTCACTAAAAATAAGTACAATAGTTCCAATTCCTAAAGTAAGTAATACAATAAATGCTTCAGAATTCCGACCTATAAATACTTTGCCACCTATAGAAAAAGTGCTTGAATCAGTTGTATATGAACAAACTCTTCAACATATTGAACACAATTATATTTTATTTATCAACCAATCTGGATTCCGCAAAAAACACTCTTGTGAAGCAGCTCTACAACTCTCCTTATGTAAATTTAAAACGGAGGTAGACAATAATAACTATGTAGTAGCAATTTTTTTAGACTTAAAGAGAGCATTTGAAACAATAGATCGCAATATTATCTTAAAGAAACTTACTGGATATGGCATTAATGGTTGTGTTTTGAATTGGTTTACTAATTACTTATTTGGAAGAAAACAAAGAGTAAATGTTAATAATAATATATCTGCTGAAAAGGATATTAACATTGGTGTACCCCAAGGTAGCGTGCTGAGACCACTTTTATTTATCTTGTATATAAATAATTTAAACCTCTTTGTTGATTGTGATTTTATAAATATATTTTCAGATAATTCTTTAATGGCTTGTTATAATAATTTGGAAAATGTGGTACAAAAAATGTATCAGGCTCTAAACTCAGCCAATAATTATTTAATGTATAATAAACTTAACGTTTTAAAAACTAAAGCTATGATAATAACTACTAAATATAAATATACCAATAGACTTAAATGCAATTGGGCCCTTTATTGTTCATTATATATATAAACGACATAAAGGACGCGTTACAACAATCTTTTGTAAGTTTATTTGCGGATGACACACTCATATCTGTCGCGGCTACTAATTTTGAAGAAGCTGTTCGCACCTTAAACAGTGAGCTAAGTATTCTGTATGACTGGTTGTGTATCAACAAATTAAAACTAAATGCAAATAAAACCAAGTTTATGGCAATGGGATCTAAATCGACCTGTAACAATTTTGCGGAGCGAAATTTTATCATCTGTATAAACAATATTGCCATTGAACAAGTATATACGATTAAATACCTAGGAGTTATTTTAGATCCTCAATTGACTTTCAACAGTCATGCAGACTACTTATGTAGGAAATTAGGGAAGAAAATAGGGTTCTTTAGAAGAATAGCTTCAAATTTGTCTCAATGGAGTAGAAATCTTGTTTATAACACAATTGTATATCCACACTTTAACTTTTGTATGTCACTTTTACTTTCATGTAATAAAGAACAAGTAAGCAGACTTCAGGTACTCCAAAACAAATGTATGAGAGTTGTTCTAAAATGTAATATTTACACTCCAATCAAAAATATGCTACAAACCCTAAATTGGCTTTCTATTGAACAGAATATTAAAAAGGCAACCCTCGTTGTAATCTATAAAATGATGCATCAATTAACACCGAAATATCTAAGTGAGTTACTAGTTACGCGGCAACACTTACATTCTCGACATTTAAGATCCGATGAAAATTTCAACATAAATTTTTCAAATAAAACTTTCTTAATGGGATCGTTGCTAATTAATGGAATACATCTTTTTAATAATCTGCCAAAAGAAATAAAAGACTCTAGCAATTTGAATTTGTTTAACAAAAAATTATGTAAATATCTTAGAGAATCAAATTAAACAATTGTGTATATTATGTAAGATAACAAAAAAAATATGTAAATAAAAAAAAAATAATTGTATATAATAGCAATGGCTAAATAAACAGATTCATTCATTCATTCATTCAATTAATCTTACAATTAATGATGAGAAAATCGATATTGTAACATCTATTAAATACCTTGGATTTTGGTTTATCAGAGATCATACTATTTGACTATGGTGTTTGTATATAAAATATTAAATGGTTTGGCCCCACCTTATTTTCGAGAATAAATTAATTTTAACAATCATATTCATAACTACTCTACCAGAAATAACATTAACTTGCACATAGAACAAATAAACATACATCAATGAATTCCTTATTTTTTAAATGCTTTGACCATTACAATAAATTGCCGTTTGGTATTAAAGCTAGTTCGTCACTAACAGTTTTTAAAAAGAAAAAGATAAAACATGTTCATGATTGATGAAATTAGTGTAAAGTAGATTAAATGTGCAAATCTCTTTTAAACAATTTTATTTGATTGTATTAATATGTATATTTTGTATTTAAGACTTTTGTATTTGGAACTTTTATACATATATTTTTTTTATATTTTGGACTTTTAATTGTTTTTCTGTTTTGTTCAGTCATAAATTGCAATTTTTTTTCCTGACTTTTGTATTTTGAATTTGAGTTGTTGTTGAACTGCCAGTGGTGTTTCATAGAATAAGTAATTTTAAATTGTTACTGGCTGGCCCAGACAATCGCATGTATTTATGGATAAGAAATAATTATTAAACAAGTATTATAATATCCCAAATCATAATTCTACAAAAGTTCAACAGCTATTCACAATTTACGTAAATACTCATAGAACTAACTATGGACAGAATTTATTTGTAGACCGACTGATTTCCAATTACAATAAGTATTTTTCAAATTGACATTTTTAATACAGGTTTGTTTTCTTTAAAGCATCAACTTTCATTACACTATTGACTTCATTTTTATACTGTGACAATTTTATTAATTTCTTTTTTTATTTTAATATAAATTTTAAATGTACCATTTAGAACTTTATGTATCTGTAGCATACTGTAAACAAATAAATAATTTTTTAAACTATTTACCCGAAATTGTTATTAGTATCTATAAAGTAATTTTGTATGCTAATGTAACCTATCTCCTTCGGTTAGCTTCACTGCAAAATTGTCAATTACTGTGTATGAAGTGGGAGAACTGCGAAAAGCCTTTCCAACTTCTGCCCCTGCTATATAAGTCAATATATAGAGTGTAATTGAAATACTTTACAAAACCTCATCTAATCTTCGAAATAAGAAGAGAAGTATCATGAAATTATTTAAGTGGAAAATGTGTATATGTATAGCCATTACCTTTCATTCCATAAGCTATTACTTTGCCACAAATGTGAGCTGCTACAAGGTGTCCATGATAATACCTAAATTCCCAGTTGTAATCTATACGATCAATTAATTTGACTTTAGAACTTCCATGATTATGAATTCCCTCATTACAATGAATTATTACTTTTTCTCCTTTAATTTCTGTTGAGAATTCTGTTTCAGAACCATTATATTTGCTAGAAATTCAAAATATATCATTAAATAACCTCAAAAAAAACAAGAAAAAATCTTACATGTTTTGAACCAAACTAGGTGTTGGGCCTACAAGAGGCGAAGCCATTTTTTTAATTGTTATTATTCCTCAGTTTATGTTTATTATGTTTTTATCGCATATACATTACTTCGATTTTTTAACGAGTGGGTAGAGTACCTAAGATATACTGAAAAAAAAAGAAAAATGGAATTTATATATTTACTAATTTATGGCAGTGAAGCATGTAAATGTATCAAAAAGTTGCTATTTTTCTACAACAGAGTATGTATTATGTATTTTAGCAATTAGTAAAAAATAAAAAATTGCTTACCCGGGTGACAGAGCAATGGAAAACACAAGACCATGGAGGAAGGATAATTACACAAGACACAAAAAATGAACAATCGGCTGCAATCGGTTGTTCGGATGATCGGGATCCGAGATCGGTGCCCGCAAAAACAGAATAAATATGACAGAAGGAATGACATTTATTTGACAGACCTTAAAACTTAACCATACTTTTTATTGCAAATTTGAACTAATTTTAACGTATGTTAATTTTTTTGGAAATTTAACGTATGCGTTAATTTTATTTTTACAGAATTACAATGGGGTCTATTCTGTAACAATTCCTTTATAATTAACGGCCTTTAAAAATATTGGCGGCCTTTAAAAGTAAGAGAAAATCAAAGTATGTGATAAATACGGACTACGGACCTGTACGGACCTCATAGAAAAACTAAAACGCCGGACCTTATAAATACGGCAGTGTTGCCACACCAATTAATTTTTTCGTAATAGAATTTTGAACCAAAAGGTAATAAATAAAATCGTAATAGATAATATTTTAAAGTAACATAAATGTACCAGAACTATTATTAAAAACATTTTTCTACGTTCATGCAAAAAACAAAACTTTAATGAACTATATTTAGTGAAAAAAACTGGGTCTTTATTGCACTAATGCAATAAAAATTTTATTGCACTAGTGCAATAAAAATTTTATTGCACTCATCTGTCATTTCACTACAGCGTTTTATGATCATGACAAACATAAATATTCAAATCAACGCCAAATATTTAGTCCATTTTCATTTTCTGTGTTACGTTTTAAAAACAATTGCATATTTTATATTATTTTCAATCATTTAATAAATAAATTAATAAAAAGATGTATTTTATTAAAAATGTCATTACAAATTATGAACACAAACGTAAATAAATGCCTCAAACAAAGGTACACGATCACGGCTACTATAGGCTTTTCTTTATAAGCTTACCAGAACATACTTCTGTAACTAGAGCATTTCTTTATAACGTTTGGTTACTCTGCTTTGGTTACATGTTACCAAAGCATATGTAGCTATATCTAACGAGGCATTTATTTATAAGCTTACTAGAACATACTATAATAAAAAATAACAAAGTCAAAACATCTTAAAATTTCTAAAATTCAAATTCCGTTTAGGAAACCCCAAACCTAAATTAAATTTGACATATGACATTCAATAATAGGGAAACCATGGTATGCGTAATGTCACCACAGTAACCACAATACTGTAACCAAGTATGTTGTAGTAAGCTTATAAAGAAAAGCCTTATGATTTGGATAATACAACTGCAGTTCTATAAAACATTTTTTGGTTTTTGCATGAACGTAGAAAAAATATTGTATGTAACTCGTACAAAAAGTGTTTATTGCACTCGACGTGTTGTCCAACTCGGCCTGACGGCTTCGTTGGACAATTTCACGTCGCGTGCGATAAACACTTACTTTTTGCACTTGTTGCATAAATAACTATTAACAATAAAACTTTATTATTTAGTTGAGAGGAAATTATTTCTGCTGCTGCAAAAGAATGGGGTAATGAAAATAAACGACAAATTATTTTTTTTTTATTTTAAAAATTTGATTCATGCAGTGTTTAATTTTTATTTTAAAGATATTAGCCCAAAATTCACCTAAGGGTAATTTTTTGTAATTTAGTATTTCGTCAGTCTTGAAGGGGTCTACGTTATTAAAAACAATATATAAATTATGCTGGAGGCTGGTGGTTATCTCCTACTAAACTAAAAACTGACCAATAACAAAAAAAATAATACAATAATAATAAAGTGACGCATATCTTGGATTTATTGAAACAAGAAAACACAGAAATAACAAATGCATAGATTTCTAATTTTTTTAAGTATGGGCTAGAAACAAGTTTAAATGGAGCCACTCATAACATTTTGATATTTTAAAAGGTAATAGATTTTTCCTCTTTTCTTAAAAGTCGTAATAACGTACTGGTGTAACTTTTTAGTAATAGATTTGTTACAATTGTAATAGCAACGGCAACACTGAAATACGGACCTTGGATAGAGTATGTAACCATTACTGACAAATGTGACTGGATATCTTATTAAGCTGAAGCTGCATTTAACATACTAGAAGAAAGTTTCTAGACAACCCAAGAGATTGAGACAATCTAAGCAAAACTTCTTTTTGAACTCGTGGTACACTCTTACTTGTATAAGTATACACATTTAACTTTGTTGTTGAATGCCTTTAGAAAAGAGTTTGTGATTTGTGGCAGAAGAAGAAGATTAAGTCGCAACGCAAACAGTTATCAGTTATTTATGGAATTTTTGGTTTATTAATTAGTGATGTGTTATGTGTTGTTGCTTCGCATTTAACAAGTTCACCCTTTTATCAGGCCTTGATCTTTCTCTAGTAGTGATAACATAATTTAATGGTGGTAATGTACAAAGTGGAATACTCCTTTTGCAAATAATTTTTTCAATATTGTTACAAAATATACAGTGAACAAAGAAAATGTATACAATGCAACATGTCACTCGTGAAGAAAAACCTGAAAAAGAGTGCATACATTCAGGACACTTTATGGTTTCTACGTTCGAGGCAGAAGAACAGGACGACGAGGACAACGTAGCTGTTCCAATTCCAGAAAATACATCAGATACTGTGACTGTGTCTGTTCCGCTGCCTCTTGTGTCAGTTAAACCTAAAAATGCACATATCTCCAAGGAACTACAGAGGAATCACCAGCAGCTTTCTATTGATACCAGTTTATCTAAACTCTTTCAAGCTATGTCCTTGGCTTACAGGTGAGATTTTATTTATATTTTGTTTTCTATTAGATATATACCAAATTATGAATAATTCAGTGGTAGTTTATATTTACCTAATTAATGAAGAGAAATGTTAATTGCTTGTTTACACATTTCGAGTTCAAAAATAAATTAATTTCAACCTTATTTCAATTGAGGACTACATGTGACAAAAACAAAAACATATTAAAAATTGTGATATATCACTTAATAGCTTAATATTTTTTATATACTTACATTGTGAAATATTTTTAAATCATTCTTAAGACCAAATGTAACAAAATGACTAAAATTGATAAAAATAAATAATTACATGAGGGCTATGAGAAAGTTAATATTCGAAACAACAAATAACACAGATAAAGACAGACAAATAATTACAATTTTCATAACAAATATTAATATCACATTAGGTAATCTATCAATTCCAAAAATTGTACTACTAATCAAACAAAACGATTTAAAATAAATGAAAACAAGAAATTCTCTATTTCCCTTTTTAACAATACTATTTACTGAACACTATTAAAATATTGGAATACAAAAGTATTTTGATAAATTGATCTCTAAATCCTTAAAAAGAACAATTATAAAACTACATAACTATATTAAAAAATAGTTTTCAACTACTTACTTACCTATTAATAATCAGATTAGTGCAAATATCAAAGAATTTTATTCAAATCTTAGTTCAATTAAATCTAAATTATTTAATAACAGCTGCTTTAAAAGTTCTCTATTATTTGTTATGTAGCATGTGAGTACTTTGGTTTCTTTGTAAGATGTTCATAAAAGTGACAAGATCAATAATTTTATCATTTGTAAGTTCGGTCCAAAACTTTGTACAAGAGCCAATATTGCTGTTTTTTTTTATTATTATTATTTGAGTTTGTATTAAGTGTAGTTATTATTATCAACATCATACTGTTTTCAAGCCCTACAACTATTAATAAATGAATATTTTAGTTAGTGTAATATTTGTTTTGTTTTTAATACATTCCAAACCATCTATAAACATTATTAGTTAGTAAACTGACTTTTTTTCATAATTTGAGATTATTTTTAAATATATATCAGGTTATGTTGAAAGCGTGACATTGATTTTTGTGTAAAAAATATTATATGAAACTTTACCTACCATTTTTCAGTTTTTATTTTCACAATTTGTCACAGATGTCAAATAAAAAATATATTTTTTAAATACCTTTTATTGGCAAATACAATAAGAACTAAAATGTTTTAAATGTTTATTTTATAAGATTAGTCCCATCACAATACATACTATTACATAGATACAAACTAGAATAAAGATATATAATGCCTGTCATTCTAAATGATACACTTCACAGTTTAACAGACCCCCTTAACTACCCATTTTCTACCAGATTGTTTTCACATCTCCCCATATTTAATCAGATTTTTTTTTATAATTAAAGGGCTTCTTCTCCTTTTAGAGCTTGATGTTTGCCAAAAATTTCAAGTTGATATCATTTTTCGTTTTTCAGTTAGGATTTTTTTAAATATTTTAACCCCCCTTAACTCCCCAATATATTCATTTTTTTTTTTTTTTTCAGTATCAATAGGCTGTATCTTCTTATAAAGCTTAATTTTTACTTAAAATTTCATGTTGATATCGCTTTTCATTTTTAATTTAGGATTTTTTTTTAATTTCTACCCATCTTAAACCCCTATTTTTAATCAGATTTGTTAAAAATCAATAGGCTTTGTCCCCTTATAGAGCTTGATTTTTGTCTAAAATTTTTAAGTTGATATCATTTCTCGTTTTTGAATTATCATGCAGACACAAAACATGACTTCAGACAAACGGACAAAGTAAACCTATAATACTCTTCACAGAATAATGTATGAAGAATAGAAAAAAAAATGTATGAGGTAAAATAAACAGTTTAAAGAGGTCAACAATAATAGTCAACTTCTTTTATCAAAGGATACTAAAAGTTTGAAATAGCAGCACATAATTGAACATTTACAGAAATCTATGAACTAAAATAGTGAGATACACATCATAAAATGTTATCACACTTAATTCTCCATATGACCCTTTCTAAGTGTATTTCACAGCACATTCCAAAGTATTCTTGCTTACGCTACTGTCCTATCCTCATGACAGACTTGTGCATGTACATGTTTACTAAAAAATGTGTTTTAATAAATAATAGAATAATAGAAATTTTGTCTAAATAGGTAAATCGGCTTCATCTGTATTTTCAAATTATTGTTTAATTGTAGATAGTATATTAATGTTTTGATATGTACTTATAGGATTGATTACCCAGAGCAATCAAAATCAAAATTTATGTTTAATACTTATTGCTCTTTTCGAGACATACTTTATTACCAACTATAAACTAATTTACCAACAGTCTTATTTTTATTTAATACCTGCATGATCCAAATTACCAATACATCTAATATTTTTGAAAATACTAAATTATTCAAACAAGGCAATAAAAAAATGTAATTAAAATAAAAGATTTCAGGGTAACACGATTGATAATTAACTTATATATAACATAGATAAATAACATATATAAACTATTTAAATGTACATACCATTTCCTAGGTAAAATTTCTCATTGAGTATATTAAATTAACTGGTTGGTCCATTTTTCTGATTCAGACTTTTATAGCGAAAAACCATTTGTCTCTTTATCTTTATCAAACTTTTATTGTACATTTCCATAATGATATCAAGTAGATCAGAATAATCAAGCTTTTCCTTTTAGTGGGTTTGTGGGTAAAACAATTTATTAATTTTTGCTTATTTCTTACTTCATAGTATTTACAATTGGGTACAAAATAGACCATTTTGAAGTAATCTTTGGATGGCCTTAGAGACTTAAACAAAATATAAAACAAATTACAGTCGTAAAATTTTCTTATAGGTAAATAAAACAACATAACCTTAACAAGTTTTATTTACCTTGTCTTAAATAAGTTTTTTGGGAACAATCGTTAAATTGACACACATCCTTCCAATTTATTAAAGTTGCAGTTCTCAATTAAACACATTTTTTTAAATGAGTACAAAAAAATAATCATAGAGGAATGACAGTTTGTTTGATTTGGTACAGTGTTTATTTATTTATTTATTTATTTACAGGAAAACCCCATTTTACAATAAAAAATATAAAAATATATAATATATGCACATAATATAATATATGCCCAAATACAAAATAAAAAACAACATCAAAAATTGTATCATGTAAAACATTTGATTAAAACATATGATTAACAAGGCAGACAATAACAGTACTTTCAAGTGTCATTAAGAAAGTGGTTAGCAATACTTCTTTTAAATGAAGGATATGAGGAACCAAAAAAATCCAAGTCTATTTCTATACTGTTAGCACTCCTAACCAATCGTGTTGATGGACTATAAAAGCCATAATTTTGTCTATGGTGTCTAATAAAAAAAGTTTCATTAGCTCTGTTTGCACTATTAATTTTAAGACCAATTTTTAATAAAATTGGTGTTGCCAGTATATGTTTTTGTTATGTACCAGATTCCTTAAATGTATAAGATTTTTCGAATTCTATTTGCAGTGACATCTAATTTATTGAAGGGTAAAAAGAGGGTCTTTATTGATAACGAACCCATACAAGGAACACAATATATATTTTTTACACATGAACACTGATGCACACAGAATATACTACATTTAGTACAATTGTGAATTGTACTAGACTGTCAACACTGGTTTGGCAACCTTGTTTGTGAGCGGCGCGCCAATTAATGTGTTCTTTGACAGTTAGAAGGATCTGTTGGCGTGTTGTCTTCTCTTTTTAGCTATATGCATTCGCCATATCGTCTCACTCGTGTTAGACTCACTCATCATAATGCGCCACATACACAGTATATTTAGCTGTGTCACAGAGGCGCGATCAGCCAGATGACAATGATGTACCAAAAAATATAGATTGACACGTATGAAAATAAAAATATTAAAATTAAATTTATATTTTTATGTTATTTATGTAATTTTAAAATAATGTGTTTTTATGAAATTTAACTGGGTGTTCACTGCACAAATGAACCAATGGAGAAACCGCCCCTGGACAAGATAGAATAAGATTTCAATTAAATTAAGTTAAACTCTATTAGGTCCATATTTATAAACCGATCTTTTACTATGAATGTTCTTCTCTGTTGTATTTCTCAGTTTCTTCTTCTACACATGGTCTGTATTGCTACATTTCCTTGGCATTTGTAGTATTTTTCTGACATGCTGGCAAGTCTTCTTTCTATATGTTGAGTTTTTGTTTTCCCGTATAGCATATCATTTGACGGATTATGGAGTGGATTTCTTGGGTGTCTCATTTTTGTTATAGCCCTAAGTGTTGAGGTTTCTGCGACCTGCAAATTTTTGATAGATGCATTCCTTGTGTTCATTATAGTCAGAGTTCTATTTTACACTATTACACTATGTTATTATTCACTACTGTACACTATATACATATGTCAAAAAAATTGATTTGTAATAGAATTACAATAAATTATAAGCAACTGTTCCTTATTTTCTGAAGTTAAACTTTGATATTTGGCACTTAAAATCTATTTATATGCAGAAAATGATCATTCCACATTCACGGACGTAAAGTTTCTGTAATATAAATAAATACATATTTATTAATATATATTAATTCATAAAGTGTGAAACATTCCCTGTCCATTGTTTTCTACTGAGTTGATTTTTGATAAAATATCTAAACTTCCTAATCAAAAAAGTGTAGGACCCGACTGGATTCCAAATATATTTCTAAAAAACTGCATTTTTTTCCTTACACTGGCTATTTACATTTTATTTCAGCAAACTATAGATACGGGTGTTTTCCCAGATATCTGGAAACAAAGTTTTGTTGTCCTGATTTTTAAATCAGGAGAACGGACTGATATAAATAATTATAGAAGCATTAGTATTCAATCTTCTTTACCTAAATTAATGGACAGCTTAATTTTTGACCAGCTTAAT